GGGGGGGGGTCTCTGTGGGGAAAGAAAAAAGAAATGTAAGGAAACCTCCAGTCTGGAGGCCCTCCAAAACCTATTTGCAGCTTTTCTTGGGAAACAAAACAATGCAATGTGGAAACGAACAAGTTCTTACAAGCGGCGTTTCTGCCACGTACCCCTGTGTGCGGGAAGGGGTCAGACTGGGAGGTGTTGTGCAGGGGACAGCCAGGGGAATGGAGAAGGCGTCTCTCACATGAGACCATGGGACTTGGAGTGCGGCAGGGAGGGGCCAGGATGCCCAGCCATTCTCCTGGGCTGGTAGGTAGAACCCCCACTCACCCCTACTTCTCTCACCCATCCCAAACCCCCTAGGGGGTCAGAACCTACAGAAGAAATGTCAGGTAAAATAAATCTGAATTTCAGATACACAACTATAAATAGTTTTTTTATATGAAAATGTTCTAAATATTGCATGGGACTTCCTTACGGTCAACAATTAGTCTTTGTTGATCTGAAACTCTAATATAACCGAGCCGCCTGTGTTTTTATTTGTGAAACCCGGCAACCCTGGTCCAGAGGGCTAAGGGCAGCCCCTCTGTTTCCATGGGAACAGCTTTCCTGCTGTCTGGATGGCGCTGGCCCGCCCAGGTGAGCGGGGACCACTGATGAAAGGCGCTTCTGGGCAGCATGGACATTGTAATGATGTTAATTCTTCCAATCCATGAACACTTTCACTTAATGCCTTTTTAACTCAGGTTTTTGTTGTTTTGTTTTTAAATCTTTATTTTCAATATATGTCCCTTTAAGTTATCTGATGGAAATTCATTTGTGAGACCCTTAGATGCTCCCCTGGCTAAAGACACCACAGTTCTGATTCTAAACGGAGAGGCACAGAGTGGACGGAAGGATTTTTGTCTCAATACTTGGCAGAAACTGGGTTAAATTAAGCTCTGGGTTAAGACAAGGGTTCATGAAAAACGTATCCAGATGCACCTTGGTATTGGTAGCTCTTTAACTCTCACTCGAATTGCATGTCATCTTTTTAAAAGGCGGGGCCTCACTTGTGCAATATTGTCATCGGGTTTTCAACTGTCCCGAGGGAATCTAACCCTTTACCGCATCACCCACGCTGGTGTTCCCTCCTTTCTCTGTCTTTCTTGGCACACAAATTGATTTTTCGTGATGGCATTAGTGAGAATTACTGCACTGAGCTGTGGAATCATGATGCTGACAACGGCTTTTCATATAGGAGGTGTCCTGACCCCGAAAGTGACCGAGTGTGGACAGCTTTGCTGTGGAAGCCTTTCTCCTTGAGCTTTGATCTCCTTCTTTCTCCTGTCTCTCTGTTCATCCATCCATCCATCCATCCATCCATCAGCTGTCAGTGTACCTGTGACTGCAGCTTCCCTGTCCCCAGCTCCTTTTCTGTCCTGCTCTGAGCCAGGAGATGGGATTGCCAGGGTGATCCCGTAGGCAATGCGGTGTATTGATTAAGAGTGTAGATTGACATCGCACTGTCTGAGTTCACATCCCGAGTCTCCTGCTGAATCATTTTGTTCCAGGACAAGTCACTGAGCTTCTACCAGCCTCCATTTCCTCAGCCATAAGGTGCCTCAGCCAGCTCTGCCTCCTTAGGACCTGGAGGCCAGAGAAATAAAATGATTTGTCAGCTTGCGGAAAAACTCCCCCATCTCCTCAGACTCCCAGCCTTCGAGTAAGCAAATAGACGATTTAAAACCCTTATTTGGAACCTAGTCTGCACGAGTCAGAGTCTTGTGAGATTTTTAATTTATTTTATTCTCAAAAATGAAAGAAACCTTCCGTTCCCTTTGCAGATGAAGGCATGTTCCCTGGGCCTGGGAAGGAAGAAATCTTAGGGACTACCCTTGTCCTATGTCAGTGACATTAGCTAGGAAAGCCCTGTGGGTTTTTTCCTGTCAATTCTCACCCAAGGCTATTCCTTCTATTGCTTTTTAGAGAGTGGGAGGGAGAGAGGGAGGGAGAGAGAGAGAGAGAGAGAGAAACATTGATGTGAGAGAGACACATTGATTAGTTGCCTCCCACAGGCACTCTGACCAGGGCCCAGGATCAAACCTGCAACCCAGGTACCTGCCCCTTCAGTGCACGGGGCCAACGCTCTAACCACTGGGCCACACCAGCCAGGGCGGGAAGCCCTGTGTTACTCTGAGAACTGAAATCATGTTCTGCCATCTCGGCCCACAGGTTAGCACATAACAGCCTCTGCTCTTTTGTTTCCTGCAAACATTTGTTTCCTGCAGACATTTGTTTCCTGCAGATTCCTCTGTGTGACACTGTTTGTGTTATAACCACCTTGCCCGTGACCCTAGCAATTGCGGCGTGTTTTTTTATTAGAGGGAAATGCAAAATAGCAAGCAGTCCTGTTAATGTATTGTTCACATGTGATAGTAAATTATTGTCATTCCCTTTCCGTGTACTGATCGTCCATCACAGCCCAGGGACTGCAGGGACATCACCGCCTGCGTGTCACACCAGCGCGTCTCAGGGATCACTGTGCTTCATTCTCTCTCTGTTGCTCTCTTTTTTTTCCACAATAAGTAATTGTCACTGTAGCTTTTTCCTCTTGTCGGTCACACGTCGCTCTTGGACTCGAGAGTAGACTGTGCCTTGGCATCAAGAAGCTTTCTTATATTTTTTCTATATTAGAACCTGGAAACACTGATCTTCCCGTGCTAAGAGGCCTTGTTCCTGTTTTTCAAGTAGAACCAGGTTTTCAGGCTTCCTTGCTATTTCTTTTGTTGTTTTTCACCTGAGGATATTTTTTCCCATTGATTTTTAGAGAGCATGGAAGGGGGGGGTGGAGAGAGAGAGACATTGATCTGAGAGAGACGCATCGATTGGTGGCCTCCCGCCCGCGCCCCAACCAGAGCGAGGGATCAGACCTGCAACCGAGGTATGTGCCCTTGACTGGGAATCAAACCAGCAACGCTTCAGTGCGCGGGCCGATGCTCTAGCCACTTAGCCACGCAGCCCGGGGCCCCCTACTTTCTTTCCAGGCTCTTTTTCTCTTGGGTTTTATGAGTCCTGGCCTGGTAGATGGCCCTGAACTCCCCCTCCCTCTCTCCTCCATGTCCCCTGGTCACTAGCCTCAGCCCCTTGCCGGGTCCTCTCAGCACCTCACCTTCCTTTTAGCCTTGTGGGAAACGCGTGACCATCACCCTCCAGCTCTCTGGATTCCTAGAAATATTTCTTCCCCCCTTGTTCAAATGCAGAGACTTACACTGACATTGAAGGAAGAAGCAGTGGGTCTTCGTCCCACCAAAGGGAGCCAAAGTGGCAGAATTCTGGAATGGTTTCTCCTGCCAAATCAAGAAATGAGGAGACCACCAATGGAGGACTCGAGTAACCCCTGCCCCCCGCCATATGCTCACATTCAGGGGTGGGATCCCACCAGGCTCCAGCCTGGCTGCTCCAAGCCCTCCGTCCCTGGGCTGTCACCGGGCAGGTAGCCGATCTGGGAGCCCCCATCAACCCGGGGGGCACTGTGGATCCGGGCCCAGGTGCCATCCCTCGTGTCTTCATGGAAACATCTCTTGGGGACAAGGCACGGGGATGGGTTGACTCATGAGTCAGTGAATACATCTAAAGGCTGGAAACCCCTGTATGCTGAGGGTCTGGGGGAGCCAGACTGTGCCAGTAGGAATTGCCATGGGTCCATGGCAAGAATCCTACACACAGCGCCTCCAGGGTGCACCATTGTCTGAGTCCCACACCCTCCTTGCAGCAGAGGGCCACCTCCCATTGGGCCTGTGGTTCTCACCAAGAGGGTCCTCGCTTTGCCTTGTAGCCACCTCATAGTGAAAACCTCACAGGCAGGTCTTTACTTTGTGATATTGAAATGTCAGGTCCCTGGAAGGTGCAGAGCTAAGCTGGTCGCAAAGCTGTGACCAGTGGTTTGAGCCACCAGTTTGTGCCAAGAGGGTGACTTCATGCCACTCAGAGAATAGATGAGCTGTACAAGTGGGGAAATTGCCACTTTAGTCCTTAAACTCTAGACTATCTTCTCCATGCCTGCTCCAGGCAGAATTTATTTCCTTCTTTCCTCTCTGGGAAGTTAGGGAACTTGTATTTCATGACAATAAAAGCTCTTGCAATCGGGGGCAACACAGAACACAATAAATAAATTCTGTGGTCGATCCC